ATCCTTCTCTATTTGACACGACAACATCCGTGAGCCACTTGAGAATCTCCTCCAACTAATGGAGCTTATTGGCCAAACTGTTTTTCATGTGACTCTTGTTGTCTTGCTGGCCGCCCAAGTCAATTTCTAGATTCTCAATACGTTCTTTGTTGGTCATCATTAATTAACTTACTTTGATACCAAAATGATGGTCCCAATGAGATGCTGGTAAGTGAATAAGAAAAACGAAAGTTCTACTCATTACTTCCTTATATTAAGGAACTGAATTAAAAACATGTAAAAAATAAAATACATGTGCTTATAGAAATAATGGGATACAAGTAGCTTGTGGAGATTATGGGAATGCTGAAGCTACTCTAACTAGTTTAGAGTTGCACGTTTCTTTTACTGGTCATACCTAAGATTCCTTCTGGTTTGTCGTTGGGGTCTTTGAATCTTATCAGTTTCATTATGCTATCTCCATAAAATCCAGGTTATTATTGGATAAATCACATTTTAGTTGTCAACACTATGAGAGCTAATATTTATATTGAGATTCCATCTAAGTTACCTACTAAAAGGAGGAGAAAAAAAGTTATTAGTATACTTATTATCAATTAATGCATTCCATACTTGGGTTATAGATAGAAAATATCTAATGGTGTATAAGTTGTTCTCCCTACCCATACGACACCCTTAACAATGGCTAGTCTCAACAAGGTGCCTCTGAAGTCTATCAACATTGGTGAGAAGTTTATTCGAAGTAAGAATCCATATGAAATGACAAACCCTTTACGAAACATAGAGAGACTAAACTATCATATCAAGAGTTTTTTGTTCTAATATGAATATAGGTGATTTTAAGGCAGATGGTCTTTGGGAGATCATCAACAAACTCATGCCACTTCTGAGAGCCATTAGGGTTAGTATAAGAGCTCAATATCCTATTTAACTCATTCATAGAGATTAATGCCCTAACAAGGAAGAGAAGGATTGAATCACTGACTAGGAATCTTTCCAAAAATTAGTGTCTCCCATCACCCACATGTGAATGAAGCTCCACTTTAAAAATCTTAATGTGCTTTAATTTTTTTTTTCTAAATGATAGAGTATTGAACCAGTGAGTTCTTAATATTGTGTAGGTTTTTACAAAAAAAAGTATTTGGCCTTGAAAACCTAGACCAGAAGGTTGGTTGGCTTTCTAAAGAGGGCTCAGATAAGCTTCATCAGGAAGTTTTTTTCTGGGTAATCATATCACAAATTCACAAACCACCTTTATTCTTAGGATGACATATAATGTGCTAGTTAACAAGACGGACCTCCTAATGATCATCACTAGAACCCTAGATAAAATTTTTAGACAACCTCTCAAGTTGAAAGGAGATCATGCTGGGAATAAAAATAATCCGCATAGTGTAGGAAGGTATTAATAGGTGTGATCTTGTAGGTGTAGTGTGACTCAACATGGATAAGTAGGGGATTTAGTAATTAGTCAACCTCTTGTGAACATGGTTGATGAGCACTTGGTACATTTTTGTTAGTATGAGTGTAAATAAGGGAAATACCAAGGTATACCTTAGTCATTAGTTTTGAAGATCATACTAATCACAAATAGGCTTCAAGTTAATATTTATTAATGCTCTTGGAAAATAAGATCTTAGATTTTATTAAGATTAATTTTTTGATACAAGTTATTGCAAAAAACATCGAAACATCCTTTGATGGTCCCATTTCGTCCAAAGAGGCTTCATTAAAGGAAATTAAAACATTTATAAAAAAAAAAATAAATGGGAGAGGTAAAGACCTCTCTACCCCATCCTCGACATGCTCTATCCCCCTTATTGACCTCACTATAAATCAAGTTACTCAATCTCTCAATGCATTTAACAACTATGTATGGGAAGAGATAATCACCACATCGAATACCATGGATCGAGGTAAACTTATTAAAGACATATCTGTTGATGAGGATTTGCATCCTAGGGGATCTACTACAATTCATGACATGAAGATCATACTAATCACAAATAGGCTTCAAGTTAATATTTATTAATGCTCTTGGAAAATAAGATCTTAGATTTTATTAAGATTAATTTTTTGATACAAGTTATTGCAAAAAACATCGAAACATCCTTTGATGGTCCCATTTTGTCCAAAGAGGCTTCATTAAAGGAAATTAAAACATTTATAAAAAAAATAAATGGGAGAGGTAAAGACCTCTCTACCCCATTCTCGACATGCTCTATCCCCCTTATTGACCTCACTATAAATCAAGTTACTCAATCTCTCAATGCATTTAACAACTATGTATGGGAAGAGATAATCATCACATCGAATACCATGGATCGAGGTAAACTTATTAGAGACATATCTGTTGATGAGGATTTGCATCCTAGGGGATCTACTACAATTCATGACACATTTGATCCACTTATTTGAGGAACATTCCTAAGGGTATCCTCAATAAAACTCCGAGTCAGTCTATCATATGCATTATCAAGGTCAATTTTGATAGCAATATACCTTCTCTCATTCTGTGGATAGCTTCTGACACCAATAATAATATTATCAATTATCTATTGCCCAGTGAGAAAACTAGTCTTGGTTTTATCAATAAGGGATCTAATAATTTCCTTCACTCTATTAACAAGAATTAATTTCCTTCACTCTATTAACAAGAATTTTTGTAATAATTTTTAGATAACATTGCAAAAATCGATAGATCTAAAATCTGTGAAGGACTTAACATAATTTTTTTCTAAGGATAAGGGCAACAAAAATAATTACTAGTTTTCATAATTTTTTAATAATAAAAACATCATAGCAACTAATAATAAAACAAATTTTATAAAATAGGAGTGATCATTATTTGGTTTAGATTAAAAAATCAGACTGTGCCAATTAATTCAGTTCTGTTTTTAATCCTTAGATCGATAGATTAAAAAATCACATATTATTTTGTTTGACACCTTTAGTTTCTTTATTTACCTCCACTAGGATGCATTCTTTATCTATGATTGATAAGATTACAAACTAACTTATATGTATGTGTTTCTAAAGTACGTTGAGCTACCCACTTCAATCCATTTTTAAGGCGTATCTTTTTTTTTTTTTTTTTATTTATTCGAAGCCAAAGGTGCCTTTTCCATCAGGCTTTTTGTAACCCCATTAGCGTCTGTGAGAGTGGCTTCCTACTTTCCCAAGAAGAAAGGCTTTCATGCTACCCATATATTCCACCACTTGCCCTAGTAATTGCCTTTCACCTAAAACATAAGATATGGCTTCATATCTACTTATTGAGAAAGGCAAGATCGAGGATTGAATCATCTATTCTGGCACGCAGTCATCATATTCACACCTTCATTGAAAAGAATGAATAATTGGGATGAATTTCATGTATCATACTTGACTTCTTAGTTCTTATAAATGATTGAAGAAAGGAAAGCCTCTTCTAGGCTGTTATCATTTTTCAGCTAGAAAAAGCTATCCTTCCATGTATACCAATGTTAGGAGGCTCAATCATAATTTTAATAATTAACTCTTGAGAAATATATAATTTTACTATATCTAATAAGGTTGAACATTATCTGTTTCGATCGTGAAAACTGGACTAGATTGAATAATATTAGATCGATTAATATTTTTTAATAGTAAAAGTTAAATATAATAAATATATAAATACTATATGTATATTGTATACATTGTGTAAATAAAATATTAAATATATTAAGTATATAGATAATATTTGATTCGGTTCAGTTTTTAGTCAATTTTTTTTTTTCTATTTGATTTTAGTTCCAATCCAATCTAGATCCAAACTAATACTCACCTTTACTATTCAATCTCTAAGATTCATCATCTACTAACACTTACTTGTAAAAATGATAATCTCTTCGCTATTATCATGAATCCTCTTTCATTCAACAATATACATACTTTTTAACCACCTATTTTTCAAAAAGCATGTAGTTCCCATATTTTGATTCCAACAAAAAATGAGTTGAAGAACATTCCTCACTTTAAAATACTTTTCTATATTCTTGATGCAGTTTGACTAGTATAAAATTGTCGAAAAATGTAATCACTTAAATCTCTTTAAAATATCTTCACCTATTTACTTATTCATACTTCTTATTATAATTCAATTGAGATTGTTACATATGCAATTTTTTTGTCTACGAATGAAATGATTCAATTAGATAAATTAACCTATATTTAGAATATTTATTTTTTAATTAATATTTTTAAAATTTTAATAATTAAAAATTATTATTGATAGTGAGTATTTTAATGAATATATGACACTATTGATATGATGAAGATGAACCATAAATTTTTTCAAATAAGATCTAAGAATTCAATAAATAAAAAAGTGTTGGTTATATTTCAATAACATAATCGATAAGTTAATTCAATTGATTGAACTGAAAAATATTAATTGAATATTAGTTGTAATTAAAATTAATTTAATAAAACGAAATTTAAAATTTAATCAGATAAAGATGATTTAACCTGATAGTGAGTTCCAGTGGAATGGACGGTTACAACCCCTTCTTGATCTGCTATAATGCTACCAGAAGCAGGGAATCCCTCACTGATAACTGAGAAGGACTAAAGCCGACGTGGCGATAACAGAGCTTGCCACAGAAAACACAGGGAAGAAAACCCCGCATTAAATTCCAAAAGAAGATAACGGGTGCACCGTTAACCAATCCTCAACAAATCATCAACTGACACGTGTAGACCTACGCTACGTCACATACAGCTGCCGGTAGATGAATTCATTGCACTTCCACGTGGCGGATTCTCGTTGGTTTCTCTACATTGAATAAAGGCATCTTTGAAGTTGACGAGAAACGCTCCATTAAAAATTAAATTAAGCCAGGAAAAAATTGTTTTGAGTTTTTTAAAATTATTTTTTTTTTAAAATTATTTTTTTTTTAAAATTATTTTTTTTAAGAAGAGAAAATCCAAGGATTTTAGAAGAAAACCCATGAGCCAGAGGATTATATAAACAGAGATGTGGCGAAGCAAGAAACCCCAAGAGTGTAAACACCTAGGTGAGGTTACCCAGAAAAATATAGCGAGCGAAACGTTTCTTCTTCAAGCTTTTCTGCAAAAAAAAACTGCGTTTTGATCGGAGTGTTGTTCTTTTTCACCCCCTTTTCATCTCCATAAATCCCGCTTCTTTGATCCCTTTCTGTCATCATCTGTCTTTCAGAACTTTTTAAGTTTGGGTTATTTGGTTGGTTTGTAGAGCTGTTTATTGTTTTAGAAAACAAGCAATAACCCAGAAGGGTGTTTTTGAAAGTCGGGTGATCCAGAATAGAGATCCAGGTCTGATTTCTCTGTTTTTAATTTTTCTTTCTCGTGTAAATTTCTGGTTTTTCATTTAATCAACTAAAGGGGGTTATTTTTGGTCCCTCTGGTTGTTTTTTTTTCTTCATTTTTCAATCTTTATATAGGATTTCTATCTAGAGCCTTTTCACCAGTTTTCATAATTTGATATAGCTATTATCACCTGTTCTTTACTTTTTTAAGGCACAGGTTTTCAGATCTTTCTGGTTTTGTTTTAGATCTTCAGAAATTTGCTAAAAAAAATTTCTTTTGAGAAGACATGGCAACAGCTATAGATGTGTATAATAGTAGCAGCAGCAACACAGGCATGATTTTCTCAGATCCTCTGAGAGAAGAGCTCATGAAAGCACTGGAACCTTTTATGAAAAGTTCTCCATCTCCAACTTCTCTCTCTTCTCCTTCTTCCCCATCTTCTTCTTCCTCTTTCCCTTCTTGCTCTTTCTCTCAAGTCTTTTCCAATTCTCAGCCCAATTTCTACAATCCTGGTATTTACTCCCCATCGAGCTCCCACATGTTTTACAGTGGGTTCTCGAGCTACACCTACCAAAATCAAATGGGTATGGAGCAAACAGGATCGGTTGGGCTCAATCACCTTACTCCATCTCAAATTCTGCAAATCCAAACTCAATTTCTCCTTCAACAACAACAACAGCAGCAGCTAGCCACCATGGCAGCATCTAAATCATCAACGGAACATAACCGGAGCCAGAGCCTGAGCTTTCTCTCCCCAAAACCTGTTCCCATGAAGCATGTTGCTCCTTCTCCTCCGTCAAAGCCCACGAAGCTTTACAGAGGAGTGAGGCAGAGGCACTGGGGCAAATGGGTGGCCGAGATCAGACTCCCCAAGAACCGTACCCGTCTATGGCTCGGCACTTTTGACACGGCGGAGGAGGCTGCTCTGGCTTACGACAAGGCGGCATACAAGCTTCGTGGAGACTTCGCGAGGCTCAACTTTCCCCATCTCAAGCACCAAGGCGAGTTCGGCGACTACAAGCCCCTTCATTCCTCTGTTGACGCTAAGCTCCAAGCCATCTGTCAAAGCTTGGCTGCCAATTCTCAAAAACAGGGGAACTCTGGGAAGCAAAGGTCTGTTCTCGGCGATGAAAAGACCTCGACCGTAATATCTCCGAATCAGCCGTCGAAGATGGAGCAGGCGCTTGAACTGGATTGTCCGGTGAAGACTGAATGTGGGTCTCCGGGATCGGATGATTCGAAGGCGGAAAACTCATCAAGATCATCGCCAGATTCATCCGACGAGTCCTCTGGTTCGTCATCCCCTGAATCAGAAATGACTTTCTTTGAATTCTCTGATTCGCAGTGGAACGAGACAGAGAGCTTCGGATTAGAGAAGTACCCATCGTTGGAGATTGATTGGGAAGCTATAAGGAAACTATCCGAATATTAAATTATGGTGTAATATGGATTTAGGTTAAAGTACTTTTTCTTCTTGTTGTTTGTTTTTAGTGTGGAAGGTGGCCTCTGCAATGGAATTTTTGACAATTGCAGAGGAAAGTAGAGAGTTAGCGGTGTCCAGCTGTGTCTCCGTCATGGTCTTGCTGGTAATTTTAGTCCTTGCTTGACCGTGGAGAGGTTTCTTCTTCTTAGTATGCTATTAAATTTTCATATGAATGTAAAGTTAGTGTTTTTGTATTTCGTGTACCACAATGGTGCTTGTTTTTACCATCATTATCTCTGTTAAAAGCATAATGAACTTAAAAAAATAATTTAAAAATAATTTGGAAAGTAAAAAATAAAACAATGTAAAACAAATTATTGAACAAAAAATTCAAAGATATAGACTTTTTGCTTCGTTTGTTTTTTGTCCAAATCTAACTAAGAAATTATTGAAAGACAAAAAAAGGCAATGGGGAATAGTTTACGCAATACAAAAACTAAAGTTTCAATAATTAATTAATTTTTTTTTTTTAAAGCATTTTTGTTTTAAAAAGTAAAAGATATTGAATGTAAGAAATTAATCTCAAGAATTATTTACATGGTATGTAGCTCCCATCAAGCCATGAAATGAGGACTCTGAAATTTTTGTTTATGGGGAAATGACAACCTTATAAAATCAAGCACACATAATAAAAAGTACCTTTCAAAAAGACAGAGAGAGAGAGTTGGAGATAAGGAACATTTAATAAATTAATTAATTAATTTATTGTTAAAGAAATATTCTGATTCTATCTTGCATCCATGTAAAGTTACGTTCACACTGCGAAACAAAATGGGAAGAAGAAAAAGACTTTGAAAAGCTATTCTTGGAATCCTTACAAAATATTTGATTTCAATCCTTATCTCCTTCCTTGATTTTATTATTTAAAATACCAAGTCTAGTTGGACCGTGATTCCATTTAGAACTTATTATAATCAATGTGTTTAATTCATAAATATGAAATTTATTTTATTTAAAATTCATTTTTACCCAAAATCTATCAACTTGTTAAATTCAAACACTCAGAAACTAAGAAAATATCAAATTATGCATGCTCTCAAGGAGTAACATACATATATGAATATGATAAATGATTACCTTTTTATATTTTGTTCACTTTATCTCAAACTTGTGTATCAAGCGAACATGCAGTTTGGAAACTTAGAAATGGGTGTGAAATGAATAGGAAGGAGAAATTTGCACCTTCAAAAATGATTATAAGGAGGATTCTTTTGTGGGTGTAAGTAAAGTTCAATATACGAGTAATGATGTGGAAATTTATCAAACCAATTTTTTTAAAAAAAAAAGTTGGTAGGACATGGAGATTTGGAAGCTGTGCTAAAAAAACAGGAGATCCAATGCTTTTTATAAATTCTACGGAATCTGTCTTCAATTATTATATTCCAATGGTAAAATAAAAATAGTACCCCAACCAATTCTATAAACTCCTCAAGGTTTGGTCAATAATGGGCTTAGAATGGACCCACAAAACCAGCAATTCATTTCGGGTTCGAAATAATGCTTCGTAAGTTATGGGCCCATGAGTTTGGATTTTTCCTTCAAATAGTTTTTACTTGGGTTTTAACTCACATCATTTCCCAAAGTGCATTCCTTCAACTTCCAATACTTAAAATTTCATATTTTTAGATTATAAAATCAAAGATTAGATGTTGTTACAAAATAATATAAATTTATATTTTTATAAAAAAATCTGATTAAAATTACAAATTAGAGAGCAAAACTACCTTTCCTATGGAAACCCACAAGGCATATTCGTATACCAAGACTAACTAGTTCTCGAGATTAATTTAAAGGCAATTTATTGGCCAAGGCTAAGAAATTAATCAAAAAAAATTTATCTTAAATTTTATAGAATATTAATATGAAGAAAAATAGAGTTGTAATGAAATAATTGAGGCATAGAATTTTGGGATTGGGCTGAAAATAGAAAAGCTTCAATAGGCCAGTCCTGATTGTTCCAGTCCAGGCCAAGTTTTGGACAAATTAAAAGCCCAACCAATGCAAAGTATAGTGTAGTATTTTCTTTTTTTTAATTTCTTTCTTTGAAATATTTTTCTTTGAAATATTTCTCTTAAATAATCATCTTTTTTTTTTGGGGTGGGGCTTCTCCTGAACTGCTTCAATAATTTCCTCATCGAGTTAGGATTTGAACAGGTTGAAGCCCAAA